CGCAACATTGGTCAATATGTGCTTTAGTATGGCACTATGTTTCATACATCTTCACCATAAAGTCCAACAACTTTTGATCCATTTCTCATTTGTCGTCGTCCAGTTGTTGCATTTTGTTGTTCATTTACTATAAAATTCCCTTTATCTTTGGTCATTGCCACAATATTCATAAAGGGCTCGATTGAATCATTGGGCTCTGACACCAAGTTGTTAAGAATCTTTGTCATGTACATTAATGGCAGTTTAGGTTATGAGAATGAAAGAGAACAAACAAGAGAAACAAGAAGGAGAAAAGAGATAAGAAAGGATTAGAGAATTTATAAGAGATAAGAAAGGATTAGAGAATTTATAAGAGAAAAAAAGGATATTAGATTAGATAGATTTTGGATATTAATTGTCGTACTTGATAAATCAGACTACAAGCTTATATACTCTATCAAAATCAGGTAAGCAATCTAAACAGAATAAAAATGGTTACAATAAGAAAAAGAAAACAAAACCTAACCAAATGTAATACATCAACCACTTTTTTATTCCTTACTCAACCTTAGATCACTGCCACGTCCTCTTGTACTTGTACACCAATTTTATCTTAATAGTAGTTTGTCTACTTTACCCTCAAGCCCATTTTTCTTACCATGTGCCCTGATCATGATAGTGTTTCATAATTTTCTCAATGTTTACATCCATACAGCTTCACGATAGACTTTATTATCTTTTTTATATCACACTGCTCATGTATATGAATTTTAAAAATCAAGTCTTATTCTTTAAGAACGTTTAAAATTGTTTAAGGACCTTTAAAATTGTTTTTTTCTTATTGAGTATACTATCATTGTCACCCATATATTTTATCAATATTCACTATGTTAAGTTTGATCTCTTACCCTAAAAAGTTCTCCTAAAGGAAGGCATATTTTTTAATCACGGTAATTGCTCTATTGTTCTCCTAAACATGGCTATTTAATGATATTAACTTTTGTTGAACTTTGATTAGATGATAACAATGCTTTGACGTGATTGTAATTGATAAATAGTGAGAAAAAATGAACAACAATCTTGAATTCCATCTTACCAGGTTACTTCGATGCTGAAATCAATTCATGTTTAATGAGAAAAGAGAAAAGATTGCAAAAGTGAAAAATTATAAAAGCAATTTTGAGATATTTTTCTCTACTTTCTTAACTATTTTTCTAAAATTTATTTTATGTAAGCTTTACGTAACATACATAATAATTACTTTATAATAATTACTCTATCTAACCTCATAACCATGGAGAGAAAAACGTTCTTGCCCTGTACCACTAGAAAAAATGATTTCCTTTATAACTATTAAGAGGTAAATGATCTTGCACATTAGTCCTCTATTGAGTGACCTTTTTTATGAGGATAAGATTGTGATTCTGCCACTAAGGAGCTGCTTAATACATACAATGTCCCTTTTAAACTTTATTTATATGTTTATTGGTGACGTTGGTCTAGGTACCAATTTCAATTTATTGGAGGCTAAATGTGAATAGGTTTCTACATTTTAAATGTTAGAAGACACTTTTTTATATATATTAGGCTTTGTTTTGTGTATGATAGGTTTATGAGCTTTTTATGTGCCTATTTAGCTCTATGTTTTTTTTATGGCTTAGTTCCAATGATTGACTCTTAGTTAATCATTCATTTGTAGTAATTTTATATATTTTGTCTTTTTTAGTAAATACTATGATACTTTTTAAATAAACTAAGAAGTAGATTTATGTAATCAATAGTTGATGGAAGATTTAATCTTCTTAAGATCTAATAAAATTATCAAGACCTTTGGTTGTCACTAATACACAATTTGTTACATGCCTCATGTGGGTACCAAATGACAACACATGTTCTTATTAATTTTTTTAATATATCGAGTTCTTATTGTAATATCATATACGAAACTTTGTTTTTTGTTAATTAGATATTGATGTAGATCACATTCAATAATAAACAAATTTAAAAAATATGTATGTAATTGAAAAATAATGTATATATATATATACAGCACTCTAAGATTGATGTTAATTAGTGAAACAATTAACGAAATTAGGATGAGACCAACATCCATCACCAAAGAATTAAAGAATTTCTACCTTCCACTAAACCCAAATCCAAATACACCAAGGAAACCCTCCTTTTTCTTTTCTATTTTCTATCTAATTAGAAAGAAAAATAAAATATATATAGGAAAGGGAAACACAAAAGTTCCTATAGTAAATAAAAATTGTACAAACAAAATTTTACCCTAAGTTTTGTCTTTCTCCAATTCGTTTCATTTCTGACTTCATCATTGAAATAGAATGATGAACATTTCCAATGTGTCATAAATAATTAAAATTCTTTTGGCAACACATGCGGTATTGATTCTTTTTAGTGCAAAAGAAGCCGAAGATAAGAATAAAGGCGGTGAGGCTAACTTCAATGAAGGCTAAGATGACAAGGAGTTTGCGATGCTTATGAAGGACTTCCAGAACTCCGGCTTTGCATGTGTCCGCAATTGAAGCACATTATGTTCTTTTGATTTTTCCATAACGAACATTCACCCGTCATTGTTTTATTTTTCGGTACTTCCCACGTTGTCTTGCTTCTTCGTTGGTATCCACAGTGTGATGGAGGTCGACAACATCTCCACTAACCAAAAAAAAAAAAAAAAAATTGAAAACACTTCTTTAGCTTTTGAATTTTATTTTTTTTTTATTATTATGCAGAGCTAAATATAATTAGAGTAAAGTTTTGAACTCTAACATGTTTAATAAATTTTAATTAATTTTTGAAAGTTTAAGTCATCGACCTTCTTTAATAAATCAGATACATTATAATTAAAAAATAATGCATTTTAAGATTGCGCATGTTTAAATTAACCAGATTAAAAATTATTCTAACATTGTTTATAATCTATTGTACTGATCTAATAATTTTTAAATTCAAATCACTTGACATGAAAAATTTTATATTTAAATTGTTGATAGTGAACTACTTGAATAATTATATTAAAGTCACTTAATTTTTCCGTTAAGTTTGGAGTATCATCTTAATTAATGTAATATAATTTTATTTTATTTTTTGGTGTGGGGTAAAAGTGAATATGAAAACAAGATTTTTGTTCTTAAAGTTTTATTTTGGTCACAGAACTGTTTCCAACAAAAAAAAAAAACATATTTTATTTTTAATAATGAATTAATGCATATTTTTGTTTCCTTTTAAAAGAGTAAAACAATTTTCTTGCTTCAGGATTGGTGTATATATAAATACCTGCACATAGTCTTCATCGAAATCTACATCAGGATCTCTTGTTGTACTGCAAATGTTCTGTTGGATGAAACATTTTTTGAACATTCTCCTGTTTTTCTCCCTAAAAAATTTCTTCTGAAACAAATTTGCTCTGTCAAGATGAAATTGTTGGCCATCGTGTTTTACATCAGTAAGCATTGTGAACATGAAGGCAAAAAAAACGACGCTTATAGTCCACAAGAAGACGAAAACAGCAAAGACGACAATGAGTTTGTCCACCTCACAACAAGAACATATCAAACCCATCACAGCCAAAACCGAGAGAACAAGACCCGTCAGAAAAATTGGAATCTTTAAAGCTTTCTGGCATTCAGTGCTGGCAGGGTCGGTAAGACAGATTGAAAAGGTGACCATGGCAAGCCCAACCGCAAGACGCAAGCAATTGCTGCCTGCAAAAATTAAATTGTGAATGCGAACCATTGTGTTTTTAGCCGCAGCTGAGTCTCTGTTGCAGAAAAAAAATTAAGCTACTGTTTGGGATTGGATCTTTGTTTAAGAGGAGAGAAACTGAAACAAGAAAGTGAATTCGTTAATTCTGCATAATTTGTTATACGATGTGATTTTTTGTGTGTTAATTCTCAACGGTATCCATCAAATTCTATGCCAACAATAATGTAACAAGGGATTATTTTCAAAAAAAAAAAAAAAAAAAAAAACTCATTTGTTTTTCGATGTTGCAAGGGAGGTTCCAACTAAAACTATAAACAGTTAATAAGAAGATTGTTTATTTTTATTTTTTAAAGGATGATAAAGCAATTATTGACTAAACCAAACGAATCTGTATTTTGGTTTTTTTAGTTGGAGGAATTTGGTATTAACTTTGAAAAAAGAAAAAATCGTTTTAACAATATGGATATTAATTATGATTATGATCTGTTGTATGCATTGACCCTACTAATTTCATAAGGTGAGAAGAGGCATGGTGTGGTTGAATATGCACCAATTTTGGGCTGCTTGGTCTGGATATGGGTTTTATGTTTCTGCTATTTATAGTGTATAATTATATTATATATTAAATAACAAAATTTAAGCATATCAATATGCGAAAACTAATTTTAAAACTCATTGTTTGTCAAATTTTCTCATTTGCATTCAGGTTATTCTTCATTTTCTGCATGCTCTTCAGGAACCTTATCAAAGTTGTTCTTCTACTGGGTACGATATCATTGCAAGGTTAAACCCTCACCCTTTCTACTCCTACAAATATTCAACATGTTAAGTTTGATCTCTCACCGTAAAAGGGTCTTCCGAAAAAATGTATATAATTGGTGATGATAACAAAGCTTTGGCGTGATTGCAATTGGCGATGACAACAAGCCAGTGAACTTGATAATTTTTCATAGTTTGTTTTACAATGTGATTCTTCTTTTTTGGACTAATTCTTAGTGGTGTTAATCAACTTTGATCCCGCTAATAATGCAATAAACATGTAAAGAAAAAATTAATCATATATGTCTCTCTCTTTTGTTTTTTATGTTGTATGACAAGGTTCCAACTCAAAACTGTAAGCCCTTGATAAATCAAATATTTATTTTTATTTTTTGAGGGATAATAAATTATTATTGACTATACTGTTCTATTATTTTCATTAACTTTTTTATTAAAAAAAAAATTGATAATTAATTTGCAAAAAAAAACACTGTTTTAACATTACAAAGAATATATATATAAACAGCTCATTTGAATTGCAAAGGCTGAAAGCTCATTCTTGTTAGCAAGTGGCTGACCAAAAACAAGCTCACAAGTTGATACTAAGACATGCCATCGAAACCCACAAAATTAAACACTGGGGAACGGAAAAGATCCATCAATCACTTTATAGAAGACAACAAAGGCGAAACGACAACTGCTATCAAACACAAGATTGCAATTCAATCATATTTTGTTTAACTGAACCTCAGAATCCTTGAACTCACTGCATCCTATTGAATTACGCTATTGCATCCTTAGCCCTGTTGGAAGTTTTTCATATGTAAAAACTAGAAACGCTAAAAATTGAGTTTTGTGATATCCTTACTCCCTTCCTTCCAACCCTCCCTTGCAAGAAAGAGAAAAAGATTACCAGGATATCCTTAATCCCTCCCTTCCATTAGTGGGATAGCTTTAATCCCTCCCTTGCAAGAAAGAGAAAAAGATTAGCAGCAAAAGAAAACTTCACAGCCATTATGTTGGATATCCATTCACTTCTTTAAAGATTGCTTCTGATAGTTCTTCTGCGGTGTACTCAATCCCAAAGCATCTAAGGACCTCCCCCCTTGGGTTCAACAAGTACCTGCTCATTTTAATGCAAACAACATTCACTTTTAACTAAATTTGCGTTTGAAACAAGTGAATTGAATAAAAGAAGGCGTGGAACTCATTTATAACTGTGTAGAATACATATATAAGTGCTGATTTGCAAAGAATTCCACATTCTTTTATGGAATTTATTGTTCCAAATATAGCTTAAATGAGAAATAGATTAGAAAAGATAGCTCAGGAAAGAAACAAAGGGACGGTGAGAAATCGAGGAAGAACCATAGAGCTTTTCCACTTACATGTTGTGAGAAGACTCAACAAGATAATCATCTCCCTCCTCTTCGACCTTTTTAAAATAAACACGATATTCCTGTGCCATCTGCCTTATAGCACCAACAGGTCCTGTCAATCCCACTATTCTTGAGTCAAACTCTGCAAACATTCATGGGGAACCAAAGAAAGACCAATAATTAGCTTAACAGCTTTTATTTAAAATGAACAGCCATCATAAGGTATAGAAACTTGGTTATACGGGACATTTACCTTTAAGGTAAGCAAAAAGTTGGGCAGGTGTATCACGCTGAGGATCTATTGTCACAAACACTGGTAAAACCTTGATACCCTGTTTTGATTCTTGCTCCCAAGTAAAAGACTCATTCTCAGTGAGATTATCATCCAGTCATTAAAATACAATACATATTGCGAGGTAAAGTGCCAAACCTAATTTGTCTATTGCCTTGGCCATTATCTGGAGTTGCTCTGGTCCATCATCAGGAGATGATGTATAGCCGAAGTATAGTAGGACCCACTTCCCTAGGAAGTTCTTTTCAGTCACTACCCTATTATCCATATCAACCAGAGTGAATGACCCACCAATAATTGGCCCCTTGACAGCATTGATACCAGAACGATCTCCCTGACCTGATTCGTTGTACAAGGAGAAAATTATGAGAAAAGGTACATACTCATGTTCAACAGGTGCTACAGTGGTGCCTCCAAGCACCATGCATCTAATTTTTTTTTTAACATTTTGGAGTAATCTAAAAACATAATCTAGCAATCAAATAACATTCTGGAGAATGTGTGTAATCCCTGGATCATCTACTTCTGTGCAGTGAATCTAGAAGAGTTTGGGATTCTGTTATCAGTTTGATTAATCTTAGTTTGATGAAGAATGAGCTGTGATCTTGCCTGCAGCCAAGTCCTGAAAAAAAATTTTTGCTCTCCTCTCTTTAGCTATCTTTGGAACATTTGGTAAGAGAAGAACATAAGAGTTTCTGGGAATTCCTCCTCTCACAGGTGTATATCATCAACTTAGGACTGTCGCTCGGTTTGAAACAAGGCAGATTTACGTGATGTAATAGACCTTTTGCCTTCTGCTTTTTTTCTTTAAAAAAAAAGTAGACCTTTTGTTTGCTGGCTATATTTTCTAAATCAACATACAGAAATAATAGCCCCCAGGTGCCTTTATTTTAGTGAATTTCCTCTTTCCTCTAAAGACATTTAAGTAATTTAGTAAAATTGCAAAGTAACCAGTAATTACTACAAAATATTAATTATATATTGACATTGAAGTACCATAAAATGTTAATAGATCACTACACAGATGCCTTGGAGACACCATGCCTCCAATGCAACGGCAAATTTTCCCATTTCAATATCTTCTGAATCCCAAGCTTACAGAAAATAATAATATGATAAAACATACTTCCACAAACAATTATTATACAACTCGAATTATAAAAATTTGATGTTTAAGTAATTTTAAAACTAAGTTGCTTAGATTTACAATGCAACTAATTCTTCACATTCTTTGTCCTACACCTAAAACCAAAAGAAAAAAAGATAAATTGCATTTTCCCTTAATGTTTTCTCTATGCAGAACCTCACTTATTTTTAAAAATGAACAAAAAGTTCTCCATTTTACAGATTATTATGCAATCACCTCCTTGCTATTCACTGTGTTAAAAACAGTTAACTTTTGTGAAAATTTACAATAGACATTATTAATATTCAAATACTCCATCAACTCCTTAAAAGACTTAACGATTCTTCTCAAAAGAGGAAAACGAAAAAACAATTTTCACATCTACTTTCCCCAGGCGGCATGTGCTTCCCACTATCTTCTGAGTTAGCAATTATGTGATTCTCACATCTTAATTTACATTTTTCCACAAGTTTCTTTTAATAAAATAAGTGACAGGGACAAACCATATAATAATTTATGAAAAATAATGTCTTTTGCTGAACTGCAAAAAAAAGAGAAAAAAAAAACTATGGGTTTTCTGCATATAACACAACAAACTGAGAGGAGAAAATTAAAATTTACTTAAGAAAAAGAAGCCGAAAGTTTGATTATTTTAATTTACCACCAAGAAAGAAGAATCCAGTTGATATATCATCCATGATTAGAATATTAGTACAAAATTTTAGACATAAGTTCTATCAATATTATTAGTAAGTATTATAGCAAAACTGTAAAAGAGTTTTCCATCTGAAAAAACTAAGTATTGTTTTTACCAACAGATCCTTGGATGCCTTCTCATATCGTTTTCCTGAATAAGAACTATTTGGAAGGTGTCAAATGGCAAGAACAGCCACCTAAAAACCCCAATAGATGATAAACATGCTAAGATATAAATAATCATATAGCCAAGTACATTCCCCAGATGCTCCAAAAGGTGATGTTTCAAATAATCCATTCCTGCAGGATTCTGCAATACTGCAATATTGCTTTCAAAGTTTTTAATACCTCAATATTCCATTTGTGACACGATTACTACCGAAACTGCTAGCATTTACCAATTTCAAGATGAATGGTTTATAGAGCTGAAGAACTAAAATAATCACAAGTTTATTTGAAAAAAAAAACTTAAATAATCAAAATTGATTTAGAATGTGAACTTCTCAAATCTCAACAGAATTCCTACAACTAAACACTAGCCATGATAGTTAACGTGACAAATCTAATTAGTAAAAGAAACACCTAGAGATCCTCCTAGTAATTGGAGAAAATCATGGTTGCAACCTAATAGAGTATGATGTATTCAATCAGCTCTATTTACAGCTACACTATATACAAGGTAATTCTTCCTGCATAACATGGAATCTATGATCATCAGAAGAAGTTTTTTTATCAAATAATATCACCCACAATCCTCTGGATCTCCCAAAGAGCAACCACTACTGTCATCCTGTCAAAGAAGAGAGCTACAGTTGGGAGAGGGAGAAAACAGTACCATGATAGAGATGTTAAGTACAATAGAAAACAACCTATATGGTCTGGCTTTCCAGGAGGCACATCTGATTTATCCTAGCCATCATGAAAGAGCAATACCCTTCAGAAGATTCCTCTGTTTCACACTTTTACCAAATTAGATCAAAAAGAAAATGATCAAGTTCGACTGTCAGAGCTACCTAACAACAAAAGAAGAACCTAACGCAAAACATTACTCGTCATCCTGAGTTAGCTTACCAGTCTACCCAGTCCACCTAGTCTATAATTTCTAGCACAAGCAAACATTTGTTATCATGAAGGTGAATAATGCAACAAAATTATTTGAAATACACAACTAGAACTGCAGTGAATGATTTTCATGAAACATGCACACATTTCAAACCACGAAGCAACAGAATAATGGGAACAATATCGTGCTGGAAGAAAATGAGAAGGAGAGGATTCCAGCTGCCGATCCTCAAAAATCAGCCCATGACAAGCCTAAAGAATAAAGTTACCTTTCAAAACCGCTCTCCTCTCATCATTATAATGAACAAGCGTTGCAACTCCAACAAAACCTAGGACAGCAGCTGGCTGCACAAGAAAAACAGAAGGTGAGAAGTAAAACAAGAACAAAATCTCGCTAGCATTTCCAATTTCTGGTAAGATCCTGTTTCCAACAAGATATTGGCAGTTGAACAAGGATACCTAAAATGAAGATGTGTGCTTATCAATATAGGATTGTGAAGAAAAAAACTCATACAATGGCATAAATACCCCACGAACGTGTCTGGGATTCTATAGGCATTACAGGATCACCACCCAGCTTTCCATAACCCGGCTTTGAAGATTTCACATAGCCACGTGACTGTATTCCCTTAGATGGTCCAAACCTAAACCAAATAAGCATCAGGTCAAGACATCTCAAGTTGATAAAGAGACTGATTATATCCATGCTTGAATAACGTGTGAAAAGTAATAGTCTCTCCACTAATTGCTCGGGTGCCAGGGTTAGTAATCCATGGAGAGACATTCAAATCTAAGATCAACAAGCAAGTTCCCTACTGCTAGCCTCTTAATGGACAAAATATAAATACACTGAACTTGAGTAAAATTCCTCAAACAACCAATTATATTCCATCATTACACATCACTGAAATGGAACAAACTGATTTCTAATTTCACACCACATAAAAAAAAGAAAGCAATTGCTCACCGAGAAACAATCCATCACAACTTACATTTCTACATATCATCATTCATTTTCCGACAAAAATTACGAAAAATAAGAATATGGAGGTAAATTATTTCAAACCCCCCAAATATAACAAAACAATGGGAAAGACAAATCAGAGAATTGCTGTCATCTTAACAAATATTGGATGAGAACATACAGAGCAAAAGTTGAAAATAGAAGCAGAGTTGGGAGAAGTTATAAGAGTAACCTCTGAAGAAGACTGACAGATTCTCTTGTGCAGTGTTTGGAGGAAAAGAAAAGAAACCGAGAAACGGGCATTTCTTTTAGTAATCTAAAGCTAATAAAATTTTCTAACAGATTTCTCCTCCTCCAGATTCTCCTGAGAGCGAAGACCCATTTCGCGTTCTTTTCAACGAATACGAGGGAGGCCAACCATGACTCCGCGTAGCTCCTGCCAAAATTTTTATTGATGCCAAGTTAAGACCAAAAATAAGAAATAAAAAATCCCGCTCTACGAAATTACATGGTAAATAAAGAAAACAATTCCCAGTAGATTTGTTCATTAAATTTTCGGAAAGTTTGACGTTTATTATATTTTTGAAGTGGTAATTGAATTTTCCTTAAAAAAAAAATAATGTAATATTTTATAAAAAAATGTCTAATTAATTTAGTTTATGATAAATATTAAATAAAATTAATTTTAAAGTATATAATAAAAGTTTTAATTAAAATAGTATAGAAACATAAATAAAAAGGCTGGAAAACAATTATATATGGTTATTCTCTTTAGAGAAAAATTTAAAAAAAAAAAACTAAAAACTAGTGTTTTAAATATTAATTATGATTATTCAATTAAAGGCTTGTGTTTTAATGCAAACTACAGTTTTTAACTCTATCTAATTTTTCTCATATTTATAAAATTAATGATTTTTTACATTAAAATCATTTCATTTAGACCCAATTTAGGAATAATCAAATCTGATATTAGAGAATAAAACGAATAAAAACAATTATTTTTATAAAATAAAAATTCAAAAGATAATAATATGGTATAAAATTTATTAATTTATCTATAAAAATATAGACTCTGGGCTACTAGCCTCTGGAAATAAATAAATAGATTAACCAACTCATAATTTGGACTTACTATAATTATATGTGGATTTGGTCCCTTATTATTTTATTAATCACAACTCAACCTTCATTTCTTCTTTGCGCCCTTTATTATAAAATATATATATATTAAAATAAAAAATACATTTATTTGAAAATATACATATATTAGGTCAAACTGAAATGTTAATATACCTCAATTTTTTTATAATTATCTTACGAGAAATATACAGCAGAATCTCGACTAATGACCAGACTGGAAAAGCTGCTATGAGTCTTCCCTCATTCTTGCTGAAGAATACTTGATAAATTACTAAAAAAAAAAAAAGAAAGAAACGGCTTAAAATGAAAGTCTAGAAGGCTTTTCGAGCTTCTCCACCGGCTGAGAAATCAGATGATTAGACTTCATCCTCTGAATCGCAGCAGAAGGATCAAGACTCTTGGGACACGTCACCGTACAATTCCTTATCGTCCTGCATTTATACAATCTGCTTTCATCCTCCGTCAGCGCCTGCAACCTTCCCCCTGTAAACTCGTCCCGGCTGCATGCCCATAAAATATATTTAACTTTTCAGAAGATTAAACCAAAAATTACAGAGCATGTGTCAGATCGAGTTATATATAACCTATCAGAAATCCATCGATAAGCATGGAGCAAAGCTGCAGGACCCAGAAACTTCTCCGGGTTCCACCAGTAGGAAGGACAAGAAGTGCTGCAACAAGCACAGAGTATGCACTCGTAAAGTCCATCTAGCTTCTTTCTGTCAACCGGCGATTGCCTGTATTCTCTCCCATCCGCCGGCAACTTTCTTGTCTTAAGCCACGGCTCAATCGACCTAACACCATTAAAACAAACATGAAAACATATATGCATGAAGAAGTAGTAGTTTAATCAGTATATAACAAGTGTTTTTTACTTGTACTGCTGGTAAAAGTTGGTGATATCAACCACCAAGTCCTTGATGACAAACATATGAGGGAGAGGAGTTATGATAGTGGGATTGTTAGTGTCTGAAACAATAGGTTTTAAGCAGGCTACGGTGTTAGTCCCATCAATATTCATGGCGCAGGATCCGCATATCCCTTCCCTACAAGATCTCCTGTAACTCAAGCTTGAGTCATCCTCTGCTTTTATCTTTTGTAATGCATCTAAAACCTTCAAAATCAAAAAAAAAAAAAAAAAACCTACAAGGATAAATAAAATAAAAATTTCAAATCAAATCACAATAATATCCCATATAAATCATACCATGGGACCGCAAGTAGAGAGGTCGACGAAGAAAGACTGGAGAAAGGTTTTGGTGTTGGGCTGATTCGGGTTCCATCTGTAGATCTTGAACTCCTTTTTTAGCTTTTGGAGATTGTTTTTGACGGAGGGAACTGTGTCAACGGCTCCTTCTGTGTGTTCTTGTGCGGGGGGATGGCCTTCTATCACAGTGAAATCTTGCTTCTTTGTGCTCACCAAATTTGCCGCCTTCTCGTAGACTTGCTTTACCCAGTTCCTTGTTCTTGACATATTTTCTCTCCTTTTCGCCAATGCGTTTGAGAAAGGCGTCATGCATGTAGGATTTCTTTATGTCTAACAGGGATTTTGCATGGGTTGAGACACGTGGTTACCCTCATGAAACGTGTGTTCTTACCATCAATTGTAGTGTAATAAGGACAATATATAATACTTGTCAACCATTCACGTATGTTTTCAATTGAATTTTAATTATTTATATCATTCTTGCAAATTGCAATCACTAATTAGTATAAAGTATAGCTTAATCAAAAAAGTTTAGTTGAAAGTATAGACTAGGGTGGTTTAAATAAAAATCATCAAATTTTAATAATTAAATAATTCATGTATATTAAAAACAATATTGTTAACATTATGAGAACCTAATACATATTATTGGATAGCTCTACTCTATTGGCACTCACTCAGGCGATAGGTATGGAGCAAGTACCTCAACCCTCATATTACTTAAAACATATAAAAAAAATTTATTTATCACTCGCCTCACAGATAAAACTTTTTACACGTTACTCATCATATTTATCTTTTTTGAATTATAAAAAGTATAAATATTTTAATATTTTAATTAAAAAATTTAAGTATTAATCAAAATAAAAAATAACTTAAAATAATATTTAAATATAATTTTCAATAAATTAATATTATAAATATATAATATTAAATATTTATTAATTAAAATTTAATTAATTTAAGCAAAACTAAAAGTTTATTAATTAAATATAGAGCAGGGTTTAGAGGGCTTGGTGTGGGATGAGTAAGTTATTAAATCAACTTTATTACTTTTTTATTTTTTTAATCTAAATTTCTCTTTCTTTTTTTTTTTTTTTTTGTCTTTTTTATTTATATACTTTTAAATTTTTAATATATTTTAACTGCGCACTTTTAAATTTTTATCTAATCCACCGTCAGCCTTAATTAACTCTTCGATATATGGTCGCTTGACTTTTTCTACCTAAGTCTCTATATTTGTTATTGGTTTATTTTAACCATGTAGTTTCAAAACTTTTACCAAATTCACCCTCAACCTTGATTGTCGTTTATGGGCCACTAACTCTTCAATATATGGTTGTTTGACTTTTGTATCTAAGCCTCTGTACTTTTTTTTAAGTTTATTTTAACGATATATTTTCAAAATGTTTGTTAAATCCACCCTTACCTTAATTGTTGCTATGAATCGTTTCATTCTGAAAATGTGGTTACGTAAGTGTATAGGCGATGCCATGATTGCCATGTCAAATTAAAAACTTCAAAATTTCATCTGCGGTAAAAATTCATAATATGAGTAATAAAATAATACTGAAATTTATTAATTTACGAAAATAATTTAGAATTTAAAATTACATTTCTTGCACAATTTGATTAAAACGTCCAATAGAACTATGAAAATATTTTTAAAAAATATAAATGAAAAAGTATAATTAGGAAAACTTATGTGATCAACTTATGTTGCGCAACTGGAAAAAACGAGAAACAACCTTTTTGCTAATTTTCTTACTATTTAGGATCCGAGTCTTGATTGTCTTGATCTAAAATTATTAATAATAAAGGGGTGAGTTATACTGACTCAGTAAGAATATCAACGTCTTACCACTAATACGAAAAATTAAAAATTTGTAGAAATCGTAAAACAACCAATGAAGCTCATTTTTCTTTCTTAAATAAATTCATTTAATTGAAAATATTAATTGTTTACTCACTTGTAAGTTCTCATATGCTATTTATGAAGATAAGAATAAGAATAATAAGCATTATGTATTCTAAAAGACCAACAGTAATTAATCTTTACTATTTTTACTTACTTACCAATGTCGCTAGAGGTCCATAGAGGTCTCCACTACACATGGATCAAATGTCCATTCAATTAATCAGACAGTCGTCTTCATACCTCGTTCGGTAATGGGTGTCAAATATACTATCGCCTCAATACCCTGATCGGTAATGAACGTAATCAAACAAATTCTTAACTTCATCTGGTATGGGATTTTTCAACCCCGTTTGACTAAGGGTAACGTCCACGGTAGGATTTTTTCTATGTACCAAACCCATACACTCTTTTTCATGACACCCGGTAAGCCTTTTTTACTTAAAAACGTTACTTACACATACAAGTTTCCATTACTATCTAGTCCCCAAATACGTGTAAAACTCATATTTTGCAATTACAAGAAAACAAAATGATCAATCGTTAAGCGATATAAATTAAAACCCAATGGTTCAACAAACGTAGTTAAGATTCTCATCATAAACTGATATAACGGAATAAAGATAAAACGGTTTGAGTAACCTAACTAGACAAGAAAAGCAAATAAAAATAATAAATTAAAGTACACAAAGTAATAGTAAGCAATTAAGGTGATATAATAACAAATAGACAACACAGATAAGATAGAGACAATTATACATTGACTGGTTACTACCTCCATCGGTAACTTCTATTTAATTAATCAAGGGGTTACAAATTTTTAATTTGACTTTAATTTAATCATAATAGGAGAAAGGGTGAGGGCTTCTTACCTTGGGTCGATGTCCGGAACGTCGCATTTTCTACTACGCTTCCCAGCAGTTTTTGGTTCTTGAATTTCTTGAATTTTTCTGCTAAAACCAAAATGTATGTCAAATAACATGAAAATACGCAAAAACAGCCAAAAAGGGCCAAAAGTCTCATCGGGACCAGTTTAGGGTTCCGGCACGGCGTTGCCGCCATGCTCTACCACCAGTTCCGCCTTCTACAATAATTCCTCCTCTCAGTCAGGCTAGTTTTGGCCGATTTTAGGCAAAAACCTGCTCAATTCGTGGTTAGACAGCATCTGTTGGTGGAAAAAGGGAGAAAACCAAAGCTTACCGCTAGTTCTGGCTCTTCGGTGCGATGGCTCCACCGAGCTCTGTCGCTTCTTCCTCGCGATCACGGATTTCCTTCAGCTACCCTGCACCAAAAAATATGTTAGATGGCCTACGATCGAGAAACGATAAAAACAGGAAAAGG